GGGGAACGACTCGAAAGTGCGGCGGGCCCTAACATACAGGCTCCGTTCAATCACTGCAAACACTGATAATTCTCTAAAATTGCACATTCACTACCCTGCTCCGTATAATTACTAATAGTATTCACGCAGCCATTTGGAAAGCGCAGCTAATTCTCTGTATAACATTATCCATTCATCAGCATCATAATCCTGTTTTTACAGTTAATCCAATGCCCTCATGAATGTTTGCGTTTAAAGTCCACTGGACTTTTCTCAATCTTCTATGGATCACGCCTTATACCAACCTTTCAAGCTCGGTTTAATCAGGTCAAACATTTGTTCTACCATTTTTGTACGAGTACAGACAAACCTGTATGTGAATGCGCACACTTGCTGTTCTAGGTGGCTGCCGAGCATGCTAAACTGTCCATCGAGTTGTGTATTGAGGTGCATAAAAGCTTACTCGGTTCCATTTAGCGGATCTGAAAGACTCAGCGTTTCCGGTAGAGAGGAGACCCAACTAACTGCTTATCCAACCGAAGGTTGTTAGAATCCACGCTTTCTTAAGACCCTATAGGCCCTGGTGGACTCGTCCCGCTTCCATTGACTTTTTCAGCCTTGAACGGCTGGATGAGGGAGATCTGCAAGGACGAAATGTTGGCAAGTGCTCTAAGAGGGATAGACCGTGAAATAAAACTGGGAACTGTTTGGCCTTGTTAACCCTAACGGGAAAAGAGCCAGAGGGCGGAGTAGGTTGATGAAAAGTTTCGCTTTTTACCATCTTGCGAAGATAAGCAATCTCTACGCTTTTATGATGAAGATTAGAATTTCGATGTCAGTTCCGTTTACCGTTCGGAAAAGGCGGCCTTATCTTCTATCCGTTTATCAGGACTATAGTGCCTGTTTCTGAAAGAAAGTGGTAGTGTGTGAAATCGACTACGGTAGGGATCGTTGATGTGTCCTCCCCCCCCCCTCTTCCCCATTAAGGGAAATGCCTCCCTGTCCCGTAATACAGGCAGTCTTGCACTAAATTTCACAAGGTTCCCTATTTCCACTGTCCTAACCCTAAAACCAACCCAACCCTTAACTTCTTAGGGATTTAATGCAAAGTCACTTTACTAAGAGCGGTTTATATTCCCGTGTCTTCCCGAGGGGGTGGGAGTACCTAAAAAATCCTTACTCCAAAGACTGCTCGTTAGACAGAGCTTTGTGGTGACAGAGCAGGACAGGTAGTGAGGCGCTGAGGAACTTCGATTCGATTAAGTGCTTAGGACTCATTTGCTATATCCAGTCTGTGGATGAGTTGCGCCCTACCCGAGCGCATTTTGTGCTTGCATTCTCATCTGGTGAACAGCGTTATGATTGCCTGAATAAAAGCAGAATAAGTTTGAAACTGACTGCATCACTCTACCCACACTTTCCGTCGTCCCTTCCCGAAGAGCTTTGTATTTCCGGGTAGGTTTGAAGTATTCGAACAAATCGGAGCACTCTGTTTCTCTCTTTAACGCTCATTCCTCACTGTTGACTCCTTCTCTGTGTGTTTGTTTGTTCTTTCCAAAACACAGGGCCTGCTTGTCGCCTCGGAAACAGGCATAAAAAGCCTGGCCGATTCTGTTCCCTCCTCGTCTCCTACTGCTCCTCGTCTTCCGGAAATTCAGCCGGAGCCTGATGTGTCCGACTCTGCCGCTGCTCCCAGCCACACTTCGCCCCTTCGCAGTGCGATGCAGTGGCATTTGGGCCTATTCAAGTTCTACGATCGTCTTCTTCAGGCCCTTGTGAAGAGGCCGGACGAACCGGAGCATGAAAAGGCAGAGTGAAGCGTCGTGTCTGCTCACTG